TAGTCACTATAATAATAATAATAACAATAATGGTAATAGGTTTAACAACAATAATAGTAGTAATAATCAACGATCAAGGGTACAATGTTATAATTGTAAGGAATATGATCATTATTCCAAGAATTGTTCTCGAAAAAAAATCCAACTAAGAAATCTTGAAGAGGAAAACCTTGGTAACAATAGCTTGGAAATAAACCGAAAGAAGGAAATCAAGAACGATTACTTTGATTTAATGGAAATGTCAATGGTAAAAAGGCATGGATTTTACTTGATAGTGATGCCTCAAGAAATTTTGTCGATAAAGATTTTATACAAAGAAATCACTTTCCTACTAAAATCAACAAAACTCTAACCATCGAATTGGCAGATGGGAGAAGTATTTCTTAATAATCTTGAGATTGGAGATTATAGAGCTAAATGTATTAAAACTCAAGTAATTAATCTCATTCGTTATGATGTTATTTTGGAAAAACAATGGCTTTTCAATGCTAACCCTGATATAGATTGGAGAAACAATATTTTAACTTTTTCTTTTGGAAGAAATCGAATAACTATATAAGCCGATGAAAGAAAAATGAGGGAACCTGAATGTAATTCTGTATTTATTACAAAATAACAATTTGTGAGAATATTTCCAAATGAAGAATTGTTTAGTTTATATTTAACTAAAGAAGAAACCTCTAATGAAAACAACTAGTATATCCTCCTGAAATTAAGAAACTTTTAAAAGAATTTAATGACATTTTTTCTACTACTTTGCCTAATGGATTACCTCCAGAAAGAAGATTGGATTATGCAATTGACCTTATACTTGATATGGAACTTCTATCTCGACCTGTCTATTGACTATCTCATTATGAAATGAAGGAATTAAAAGTTCAACTCTCTGACCTTTTAAAAAAAGGATTTATTCAACCTTCTGTATCTCTTTTTGGTGCTCCTGTCCTATTTGTTCATAAAAAGAAAGAAATTTTAAGACTTTGTGTTAATTATCGAGCTCTTAACAAGATGACCATCAAGAATCGCTACCCACTACCTCAAATTGAAAACTTACTGAACTGACTTGTTGGTACTAAATACTTTTTCAAATTGAATTTATACTCAAGATATCATCAAATCTGAATCAAAAAAAGAAGATATCCATAAAATTGCTTTCCAAACTTTATATAGTCATTATGAATTTTTAATCTTACCCTTTGAATTAACCAATGCTCCTGCAACCTTCATGACTCTAATGAATGATATTTTTCATAAATATCTTGATGAATTTGTAGTTGTATATTTGGATGATATTCTAATATACAGTAAAACAAAAGAAGACCATTTGAAATATTTGTGCAAAGTATTATCAAAACTTAGAGAACATAGATTATATGCCAAATTAAAAAAATGTGAATTATTCAAAAACAAAGTTGAATATCTTGGACATTATATATCCAGTGAAAGAATTGCTATTGATGAAAGGAAAGTAGAAGTAATTAAAAAATGGCTTAATTCTACTAACTTAATGGAACTTAGATCATTTTTGAGACTAACTTCATATTATAGGAAATTTGTAAAAAATTTCTTTGCTATTGTCTTCTCTTTAACTACTTTACTACGAAAGGATACACCATATGAATGGAAACCAGATCAACAGGAAGCTTTTGACAAATTAAAAGAGAAGTTAACCTCCACACCTGTCTTACTTATTTCAGATCAGACCAAACCTTTTACTGTGACTACTGATACCTCCGACACTGCTATTGGAGCTGTGCTGAGTCAAGACTATGGTAAAGGTGATCAACTTATTACGTTTGAATCTAGAAAATTAAATTCTGCTAAATTAAACTATGCAACCCATAAAAAAGAACTACTGACAATAGTTCATGCTATACATATTCCCAAAATTGATTTTGAATTTTTGAGGTATTTCGACTTTTTAAGATTTATGTAAAATCTATTCTATATATAGAAGTAAAAAAAGTATCCAGTTATATGTATCCTTAATCAAAGAATAAATCTGAGTAGTCAAAGAATTTTAGGTTTTAAGTAAAATAATTTCATCTTCTATGAAAAACTATTTCAACTTTTTTTCTCAAAATTACAATTTCGAGGTCCCAAAATAATTTTGTATACAAGTATAGTTCATGCCATTAAACTTTGGTATCCCTATTTTGAAGAAAAACTATTCACAATTATTACAGATCACACAGCTTTAAAATTTATTAAATCACAATTAAACCTCTTTAGAAGATAAGCTAGGTGACTTGAAATTTTACAATCATCTAATTTTGATATTAAATACCGACTGGGAAAAACAAATGTAGTAGCTGATGTATTATCTCGAGTTCCCTAACTTTCAAATATTAATACCCTTAATATCAACCTAATTAACAAAGAATTATTGATTAATGAATACAAGAATGACTCTTATTTTGAACCAATTTACCAAGTATTAACATCCAAAAAAAATAAACCCCAAGCATGCAAATTTGAACTCCATGATGAATTAATTTATCTCAGAAGTGAAAAATGACTTGCAATTCCTAACAATAAGGAATTACGAACACTTTTGTTACATGAATGTCATGATTCAATTTTGCTGAACATTTGAGTACTAAAAAGATTTTGGAGTTAGTGTAACAAAATTATTTTTGGCCAAGAATGGGAAAAGATATAAAGAACTATGTTACTAGTTGTGACTCCTGTTAAAGAAATAAAGCCTCCAACCAAGTGCCTGCCAAACTATTACAACTCCTAGACATACCAGAATGTCGATGAAACCATATTACAATAGATTTTGTAGTACAATTATCAAAAACCACAAAGAAACATGATGCCATAGTTGTCAACGCTGTTATAATCCCGATGCTAGAATATAATCTAAATGATATGGTATTAACAGAAACCGAGTGCAAAAACATGACAACATGCTTTATAACAGTAATTAAAAATAAAGCCTTATTACTAAGTACAGTACCCAATGCACTTATGTTTGTAAAAGAAGAATACAGGGTGTGTAATCTATGGGATAGGTAACTTCAAATGCATAGCAGTAATCTATTGAAAAGAATCAATAATAAAAAGGTTCTTGAGATATCTACAAGAATCAGACTACAAAATCTACAATACATATACTGGTCTAGCTACGCGGTGACAGAATACGGAGAACATGTAAAAACGAAAGGAGGTCACTCCACTGGTCAAAATCTGGCATATCATGCACTTATCATGCACCAATCATGGTGCCTAATAGGTACCCGATATATATCTTTTGACACATATCGGGTACCCGATAAGTGTCATCATATTCCCTAATATCGGACACTTATCGGGGACTTATCGG